GCCCGAACGCCCCACCTGTGCGGCGACGTTGCCTGGCACGGAGTTGGGCTGCGGTGTCGTCTGCGGCCACTTGGCCACGAAAGCCCGACGTCCTCGAGCGGCGGGAACTCGGTCGTGAAGGTTGACAAGCCTGCCGTGGTGGAGGTGTTAGCTTGTGACCGCGAAGCCTGGTTCAGGGTCGGCGGGGGGCCTCGCCCTTTCTGGCGCACGCCGCCGACTGGTCGTGCCAGATTCCCCGTCGAACGGGATGATGCTGAACGTGCTATCCTCTACGTCGAGGATGGACTTGATCTCCGAAGAGCATGAGACCTGTTGCTCGATAATGCGGAGTGCGAGCTACAGCGGGTCCTGCGTCGGACCCCCATGACATCGTGAGCGACTCCGACATGGAGGCCACCTCTGGGAGTGCTGGCCCAATTTCTGCTCGTCTGGTTCGATGTCTTTGGCGACCTCCTCGCGCGCGGTTGCAAGTCGGTGCCAGCTTGAGGGCGACGGTGGTGGCAGCTCGCTGGGCAATCCACGTCCAGGACTTGCGCTGCTACCTTCGCAAGCGGATCGATCAGGTCGTGTGCTGGAAGGATAGGGAGAACGCGCTGAACTGGGAGGCTTGCTTGAAGCCTCTTGCTCTGTGTTGCGCAAAGGCCATGCGGTTTCACGATCGTACTATACGCTGTGCCGACCCGTTCAGCATTGGCCTGTGTGGCTCATGATTTCATAGTTCCGCCTGGTTCGATATTTGAGTTGTTGGGCGATGATGAGCTTGATCAGAAGTGTCAGCGCTGCGGGCTGCTCATATTACGCGGGATCGTGCCAGGCGGAAGGGCTACAGCAGGTTCGTGTCGTGTCGACACCAGCGTTGGTTTCTGACACCGCGCTGGATCGTGCAACCTTGAACGATCGGGCGTTTCCGAAACGTCAGATCGTTCAACATCGACCGATTATGGGTCTGGCGGCGTTCAACGTTGAATGCCCGCGACGGGGTCGCCGCCGGTCGACACGACGCGAACCTACCGAACGTGGACGCGTCCTTCCTGAAGGATGCACGGCTCGCTCACACTCTCACACGCTTACAGGCGGCCCAGGAAGTGGCCGGGGCAGGCACACGAGGGGAGAGTCCCCGCGAGCTGGCCGACAGGGGGCTCAAGACGTGGGCGGAAGTCTGGGAGTGCCATGGCGCGTCGGAATTTCCGCTATGGTCTGATACGGTACATTGGGACTCGTTACGGCAAGTTCGTGTCGTGTCGACCTCGGCGTTGGTTCCTGATACAGTGGGGATCGTTCAAACATGAACGTTCGGACGTTCAGTGAACGCCAAATCGTTCAAAAACAAGCCGATTCTGGGCCACGGGCGGCTTTCAACCTTCAACACACGCGCTGGGGTCACCGCTGGTCGGCACGACGCTAACCTGCCGTCCCTTTCATCACGGTGCCGGTGCTGAAACAAACAATTGGGAGTCTATCTTGGAGGGCAGCGCATGGGCATTCCAGACTACAGCCTCGTGCGTTCTGGTTCGTGGTCGATCGGGGGTCGAGTGCGCTGGCGTTTTTTTTCACGAAGTGTGAAGGTCTTCTCCTGTGGACGCAGCAGCGCATATTCGCGGAGATGGGGAAGATCCCGGAGGGGGGGTGAGGGTCACGCCTGGTTGGCTTGATCCACTCGGCGGTTCGGATCTGGGCCCGAGTGCTCAGGCCCCTCTCTCGTGAACGGCTGGATCGCCACCTGTCCGAGCTGACTTGGGGCAAGAGGCGGGGCTCTTCCTCGTCGGCGGCTGCTTGCTCGCACAACGTCACATCCGAGGTGGCGAGGCTGTTGGGAGAGCACTCGGTCTCGGTCATGATCGATGTGGAAGTGCTTCGACACGGCGTTGGTGGAAGAGCTTCTCCAGGAAGCTGGGGCACTTGCATTCCCGCTCAGGCTCCTCTCGCAGCTGGTCGCTACTACTACGGCATGCCGAGGACGGTACGAGCCCACGGCAGCCTGGGCCGCATGATGGTGGTTCGGCAATGGATCCTGCCAGGATGCACTCATTCGACGACGCTGCTGACAGTGCTAATGTTTAGGACATTTGGCAAGGTGCAGCGAGTCTGTCAAGCAGTCTGCCCGCGCGGGGTGGTCGACGACGTGACGCTGCAGTGGATCGGGGCCCAGGCGCATAGGTCGAAGGAGCTGGTGATTGCGACGAGCCTGCTGGTCCAGAAGTCTCGACGGCCGGGGTTGATCATCCAGCCGGTCAAGTCGGCGCTTGCTGCCACGTCGCGGTCTGCGGAGCATGCTTTCAAGCCGTTGGCCAGGGCGGTGAGGCTCAAGCAGCAAAGAGTGGTCAGGCACCCGGATCACGCACGGAGGTCAGGCGCGGCGACCAGTGGCCAACATCAGGATACGGAAGTTGAAGGCTCGGCTGCCGCGCGCCAGGCTGCTGAAGTAGGCCGGTGGGCGCGCCCAGGCTCTCTGGCGAGCTGGGCGGCTGACCTCAGCCGCTCACGGCGCGAGCGTCGCCGGTGTGCCTGGCCCCTGTCTTCGGCGTTTGCGTCAAAATGCTGCGACGGCTTGCGGTGCGTACTCTGGCGGGGTGAGCCACGCGGCTTACCTCGCGAGGCAGCGCGAGAAGTGGCTAGACCCAATGCTCGAGGCCACCTGCAGCATCGCGTTCGTCTGGGACCAGGGGGTCGAGTTGGGCTGTCTGGAACGTGCTTGGCGAGTGCTGCAAGATCGCTGGCAGCGGGTGACGCCGAAGTGGGATAGTGCTCGTGGCCCTCTGGCGGCTTGCTGGCTCTCCTTACGTCGGGTGGGCGGGGACATGGCCAGCCGTGCGCTACCACGTCCGACGAAGGGCTCATTCTCCCTGCGCTGCATGCGTCGCCCGTCGAGGTCAGACACGCCTTGAGAGAAGGTATCCAGCGTTGGCAGCCTCGCCAGATCTTGTCGCACTTGGGTGGCGAGGCTCCCGAAGCGCCCACAGCCGCGCCCGCCCGTGAGTGGGAAGCTTCCTGTGTTTTCCTGCGGAAATTGGGAGTCAAATCCCGATCTTTGGACCAATTGGGCTTGCGGAGACGGGTCGGGCATGCACAATGCTTGGCCAGCGTTCCGTCGATGTGGTTGGGCGGTGGTTCCGTTGGGATCGCGAGGGGTTCGGGCTCGTGCTGCGTGTGGTCCTCGTCCAGGGGCGCAGCAAACTGCATGAGCTGCCGAGCGGGAAGCCATCGGGCAGTGCCTTCTGCACATCCCGTGGGTGCGCTTCTTGATGTCTACGTGTGTTTGCGGGCCGTCCAGGAGGGCAAGTCTTGGGACCCCATCTTGCTGGGGCCCGCGGGCCCGCGCGTCGATCTGGCGAGAACTACTGCAGAGGGTTGTGAAGGGGCCCTGGGACACACAAATGAATGAACACAAATCCAAGGAGTCCCCATCTGTTCTTATGGTTTCTGAGTTTTCGTCTTCCCCCCACATCCCATGTTTTCCCATAAGAATGGCCCCCTCCTGAGGTTGGGCCCGAGGGGCCCGCCCGAAGTCGACCGGGCCCCTGGCCACCCGGAGCTCCACCAAGTCGTGCTGCGATGCCCCGAGAAGCCGCCCGGGTGGCGGATTGTGCGGCCTCCTCGCCCCGTGCGCTCTCGCCGCGCGTTGTGCGCGGCGGCCGCTTCCCACTGCGTCCTCGTCCTCGTCCTCCTCCTTCGTCCTCCTCCCCTCGTCCTCGTCCTTCGTCCTCTCTATTCCCCCTCCGTCCTCGTCCTCTCTTCCCCCCTTCCTCCCTCGTCCTCCTCCTTACCCCTCTCCTCTCTTGTCTCCTCTCTGCGCTGCAGCGCCGCCGCCGTGCGCGCTCCCGCCCGCGAAGGCGGCCGGGCACGGCCATCAGAGGCTCGCCTTCCTGGACACAGATGTCTTCGCCGGGCCGGGGAGGCCCTCTCTTCACCCACTCGGTGTCGGAGGCCGAGGGGCCCTCTTCCCCCCCTCGGTGCCAGAGGTGGTTGCAGCTAAGGTGGACAGCCCTCAAGCGCGTCACAAGAAGAGAGGCCGAGTCTCTCGCCTGCGCCACTGATCAGCTTGTGCCTTCGGCCGAGGGTGCGGATTCGATGGTGAAGGAGTCGGTGCGACATTGTGGTGGTCGCGCGCCTGGGGTCCCAGCCGTGAGACGTGTTCCGTCGGTGCCCCTAGATTTCCAAGAGCACGAGTTGTGGGCCCTGGGTCCTGGGCACCAGGCTTGCAGGCGTTGCTTGAGGCAGGCTGGAACAGAGTCCACGATCGGGTGGATGTCGGGTGGCCGTAAGCGTACCCCCACGGTGCTCCAGGCCGGCAGGGCCAATTCAGCGTTCGCCCCAGGGGGTCTTCCTGCAACGGCCATTCCGACTGCTAAACCAGAGGCCGTCCAGGTGGCGCTGGCAGCCATGTCTGCTCTGAGTGTTGATGGTTCCGGGCCTTCGGTGGCTCCTACATCAGGCCACGGCCGTCCAGGAGGAAGCGGCCTCTGTGTCGGGCTCGGGGGAGGCGTTCGCCTCCCTGGGGCACCGCGTGGGGTCCGTGGGGCCATACATGTTCTGTGATAATTGCGGAGCTCACTGCTCGCAGCGTTTTGGGCCTCTCCTGAAGGGTCGTTGTAAGGAGCGGCTCGCAAAAGAGCCCAAGGAGGCCCTAACCCCGTTGATCGCGCATAAGCATCCCAAGTCAGGAAAGCCCCTATATTCTCATTTGGTGTTGATGGAGTCTGTGTAGTGAGCGAGTTCGCTGCACCGTGGCTCCTCCTTTAAATCTCGGAGTGTTGTCGGCTAACTTAGTGGCACTTCTATGGCTGTTATCCCTGATGTTCCTCTGCCTTCTTTTCTTCCTCCTCCCCCCCCATCCTCCTTCTCCTCCTCCTCGTCCTCCTCCCCCTCCTCCTCCTCCTCCTCCTCCTCCTCCTCCTCCTCCTCCTCCTCCTCCTCCTCCTCCTCCTCCTCCTCCTCCTCCTCTCGTGGTCCTTTTCCTGCCCCATTTCGTCATCGCCCGCCTCCTGCCCCGGCGCTCGCGCCTCCGCTCTCGCTGACCTCGGCCGCCGTCAGCTCTGCCAGCAGGCGCACAAACGGGTCGCTGATGGCGCCTCGCGCGCCCCGCGGCGGGAGCGAGATGCGGCCCGTGCCGTGCAGGTGCCGTGCGGGACATTCCTCCTCCCTCTGCCCTCCTCTTCGACTCCTCCCTCCTCCTCCCTCCTCTGCCCTCCTCCCTCCTCCTCCCTCCTCTGCCCTCCTCTGCCCCTCCTCTGCCCTCTCCTCCGCCCTCCTCTTCTGCATTCTTGGGCCCCGTGTGCCAGGGAGCTTCAGAGCGGCATGAACAGAATAACGTTCGGAGCTCCGCGCGGATTCCTAGGATCGCAGCTAGGGCCGCCCCTGGCGCGCTCCACGCGCCGATTCCAGCGCCCACCCAAGAAATCCGCGCAGTCCTCCACCAATCTTTGCTCGTGCAGCTTTTTCTGCTCCGCGCGCGCCCGCGCAGGGGAACGAGGTCTGGGCAGAGGAAATGAGCCGCCTGTGACGGCGACGGCGACGGCGGAAGACGACGACGGCACGGACGACAAACGACAGGACGACGACGCCCAGGCCAGGAGAGGAGGGGGGGGGAGAAGGGAGGAGAAGGAGGAGGGAACGAGAGAGCCGTTGAGGCCAATGCGGTTCTCCGCTTGGCACTGTGGGGGCGAAGCCCTGTGGTGGCCCCTCGTTTCGGCACGAGGCCCGCGAGGGCCTTCTTACCAACCAGAGCCCGCGGCTGGTCTCGGCCTGGCCGCGAGAAGCAGATCGCTGGCCTCCCTGCGCCCACCATGCCCTGCTCCGCAGTGTCGCCGAATCCCCCCCGTGGCGCACGGACGGGTGAGGGGTCCGCGTGCCCCTGGGACGCACGCGCTGCGCAAGACTCGTGGCGATTCTCCTCCGGAGTCGATGAGACCAGTGGAGACCATCTGGGGAGCGCGAAGCCACCGTCGTGCTGGGGAGAGGGGCGAGGAGGGAGGGAGGGAGGGAGGGAGGGAGGGAGGGAGGGAGGGAGGGAGGAGAAGGTGGAGGAAAGGTGATCTTTCCCCAGGCAGTGCCTGCACCACGGGCCTCTTGCTTCGCTCACTAACTAGCTGGCGTTTCGCGGTTTGCGCCCGGTGGCCTCCCAGCGGCGCCTCGTGGGCGCCCCGTGCGCTGGCTGGTGTCTCAAGGTTGTCGGCTGGTGCCCGCACGGGCGGCAACGGTGGGCGCCTCCCCAGAGATCCGATGCTCCAAAAACATTGGAGCGGCGGGATTTGGGCAGTTTTTGGCCTCCAGGGGCCCTCGCCGGGCTTCGAGAGCGTCAAAAACGAGTCAGGACGACAAACCGGCCCTAGGGAAGTGGTCTGGACCTCTGGGGAACACGCATCGAAAAAATTGGAGCAGCAGGATGTCTGGGTCGTGCGCTGGCTGGAGGTACCAGATGCGCACGCAGTGACAGAACTTGCGTCGCACATGTTAGCTTGCAGCCTATAGGCTCTCACTTCCACCGAATGCAAGACTCTACCCCCATACCGAGGCCCTGCCAAGGCTGGAATTGCCTGGACGCCCGCGTGTTTTTTTGGCACGCTCGCCTGACCGTCTTGGACCGCTTGGCGCCCGCGGACTTCAGGTCAAGCAAATGCTTCAAATAATGAAAATGAAACAGTTTTTTGGCGCGCAATAGGCCCGCGGCCCTCGGGCTGGGCCGCCTGGTCTACTACTTCGCGAGCGTGCCGCGCGTATCACGAGCCGAGTGAAAAAGGGATCGCAGAGCAGAGCCAAGTGAAGGAGGACGCCCGCGTGGCTGGGGGAAGAGGAGCGGAGGAAACCGCAGAGAAGAGGTACCTGCCAGGAGACGTGCTCCGTCGAGGCAGATGCAAAAGTGAGGGCGCGGAGCCACATACGTGGTATGCGTGTGTGTATATATGTAAGTCTGTGTGCCGTGTGTGTATATGTTGTGTGTGTGCCGTGTGTGTGTGTGCGTGTGTATGTGTATGTGTATGTGTATGTGTATGTGTATGCGTATGTGTATGTGTGTATGCGTATGTGTATGTGTATGTGCATGTGTATGTGTATGTGTATGTGTATGTGTATGTGTATGTGTATGTGTATGTGTATGTGTATGTGTATGTGTATGTGTATGTGTATGTGTATGTGTATGTGTGTGAGTCTGTGTATGTGCGTGCATGCATGCGTGCGTGCGTGCGTGCGTGCGTGCGCGTGCGCGCGCGCGTCTGTGTGTGTGTGTGCGTGTGTGCGTGTGTGCGTGCGTGCGTGCGTGCGTGCGTGCGTGCGTGCGTGCGTGCGTGCGTGCGTGCGTGCGTGTGTGTGTGTGTATGTGCGTGGTCGCACCGCCGAAACTTCACGAAAAAATGGCGGGGCTACGTGAGACTCCCCTGGCTGTCTTACCTGGACCAGGTCGGGGGGGGGCGTTTTACCTGGACCATGTCGTGCATACCACGTAGCTCCTCGATGATGTCCTTCATGCCCTCCTCCTGCTCCGCCCCCACCCATCCTGCTTTCGTTCGCAAAGCCAAAGCCAAAGTACTGGCAGCAGACTGCAAACGATGCTGTGAGCTGCGAGCGCTGCACCCTCTCAGCCGAGAACCTTGACCGCAAGAAAAAAGAGACAGGATCTGCGAGGCTTTTTTTCCGTCGCGGCGCGGCAGAGGCGATCCGCTCGCGCGTCGAGCAACCCGGGCTGCCGCGCTGCGAATGTTCCCGAAGGCGATAGGGGGGAGGGCCAGAAGAGGGCGACCGCGGAAAGGGGGGAGGACGGGAAGAGGCAGGACCCCGGCAACGAGTCCTGGCCAGGAGCGCCAGAAGAAGCGCCGGTGCGCAGCATCCTCGGCGCGCCACGGCCTTGACAGTCCAGGCAGCTGCGGAGCACCTGCCGCCCAGCCTTCCTTCACCCAGGCCCTCTCGCATTCGCGTCAGCCCCCTCGGAAGGAGGTGGGCAGATTCCGCGACCTCCAGATTTGGCGCGAGATGCGCCCGTCAATTGACGGCCTTCGCTGCGCCCAGGGTTGCTGTGTTGGTTTTTCGACTCTTACGGCGATGCTGGGGGCGGGTGCGGGCTGTGCCGCGAGGACGGCATCGATGAAGGCAGCAGACAAGAGAGAGAGGAGGAGGACGCCATCCTCGATGCACGGCTTGGCCAGTAGCGCTGGCGGGGACACGAGCGCGCCCAGCACAGCAGGCGGGGCGTGCCCCAGGCTACGGCACGCAGGTGCGGGTTGGCAAGGAGAGAGGACGGCCGCGGAGGCTGCCGGGGGGGACGGAGGCCCCTGACCTTGGCTGCGCGCACGAGGGGGTACAGCCGAAACGCTGACATAGGGAACCCTAAATAAGGAACGAGGCCCTGCTTTTTCCATATGTCAAACCTCGATGTACCAGAGAAAACCTCACGACAACTTAAGGAAAACTGCAAACGATAAAGGACCATTGAGCCTCTCTCCAGCGAGCCGGGGTCCTTCTTCAGCGGCCCGACTGTAGGGGGAGGGGGGAAGCCTCTTAGGAGGAGGCAGCTTTTTACAAGGCGCCGGCCTCACATCTACAGACGACGCCCGCGCCTTCTGAGAAGCAGGGTGCTTCTAAGAAGCCTTCCCCCCTCCCCCCGACCTTTAGGTCGGGCATGTCCTCCTACAGGTGGATTTTGAAGGAAAACCAAACAAGTCAACAAATGCTCAAAATTAGTCAAAAATCATTTTTTAAAAATTGTCTCCTGAATATTTTTTGACAATTCATGAATGCCCCTCCTGTAAAAGGGCACGCCCGAGTTAACCCTACCCCCCTCTGCGCGTGGCCGAAGGCCGCCCGAAGCCGGCGGAACAGGAGCGCGCAGGCGGCCGCAGGCCTCGGTGCACAGGCTGCGAGGGTTTCACGGCGCAGCTTTCTGGGAAAAGCGGCGGCGCACCAGCAGGGGGGGGAGGAGGAGGAGGAGGAAGAGGGGGAGGAGAAGGAGGACGAGGAGGAGGAGGAGGAGGAGGAGGAGGAGGAGCCTCCAGGCGGGCGGGCAGGCGGGCGAAGGCTCCGCGGCGGAGGACGCGCAGACGCGCCCCGCGCGGCGAGTGCCCTGGCCGGTGCCGGCGGCGTTCGACAGGCAGCGCGTACGTCAGAGGCCTCCCAGACGGGGTTCGAGTCGACGGGGTCGGGGGAACGCGCCGCATCGCCGATGCGCCGGCGATGCATCAACGAGGCATCGACGATGCACCGGCGACGTCGGCGACGCACCGGCGATGCCGGCGTGGAACAAATCGGGCTCCACATCGAGCCGCGTCCCCGACGCATTGGCGATGCGGCGCGATCCTCCGAACCCCATCTGCTCCGACCCCATATAGGAGGAGGCGCGCACGCAGCAAAACCCCAGAGGCAAGAAGCCGAGCAGCCAGCCCTCGGGGAGGGGAGGGGGTCCACCGCGAACGTCGGGCCTGTGAGCGCTGGACGTGCAATATCGAGGCAGGAGCAGGTGCAGTCGTGAGCACATCCCCGTGAAGAAAATGTTTAACAAAAGTGTCACAGGGATGGAAGCCGAAACGATGTTGAATCAGACCAGGCGGGGCCCGTCGCATCAAATGACATCCGCCTGTCAACGTTACGGAAGAACGTGCCGCCTGCATTGCGCAGTGCATGTTAACCATCCGACTGTTGGGAATGAAACCGCAAGGCGGAACGTGGAACCGCCCACGCCAGCGGCCCTTTGAAGGATCAACCTGGAAGAGCACCCAGGCATTAAGTGGCGTCCGCCTCCCAATGTTGCCACCAGACGTGCACGCCAAAATATTGCATATCAATAACCTGGCCCATGGTGCATGCCTGCGCACGCTACCAACATTGAAAAGCGAGTATAACTTAATGATCCTCTTTGGGCGTCGCCGTCTGCAGGTCATTCACGATGATCGTCTTGTCCACTGCGTTATAACTTTTTTCCTGGCTGTGTAAGAAGCAACTGACGAGACATATGCATGCCTGTGTATACATACGCATGTATATACACGTATGTTGAGATATATACATATGTATACATGTATATACATGTATGTATGTATATGTGTACGCGTAGATGTATATATATATATATATATATAGACGCATG